AAGAGACTATAAGCCAATTGTCCAAATATGGATAAATTTGGAGTCCTCGTGGGCGAAGGTGAGCACATATCGGAGCCATGCATTTGTGAATACCTAGGGGCTGTGGCAAGTTCGAAAGGAAGTACATTATATTCAAAAATGTCGAGACCGACTGTGAATCTGAGAAACCTTCTAAAAAACGGGTGGATGCCGATCTGAAAATAGGCATCCTTTAAGTCAATAGACGCGAACCAATCATCTCTCTCTAGCAGGGGGAGGATGTTTTGTAGGGTGGTCATACGGAATTTTCTAGTCGTGATAAAGGCGTTGACGCTTCTTAGATCGAGTATGGGGCGTGAGCCACCATCTCTCTTCGGTACCGTGAAATATCTCAAGTAGAAACCTCAGAGTCCATCAGAGTGCAAAATTTGGTGGATTGCTCCCTTCTGGAGTAATTGAGATACTACTTCTCTAAGAATTTTTGATGGTGCGGTGTATGAGATTGGTCCCGAAGTGTTGAAGACAGCAGCCCTGTATGTAAACAATCCACACATTCACGCGCGATAAAACTAAAGTCCTTTAATGCTAATTGTCTACAAGATTTACAACCCTATAGATAAGCTCTCTAATAGCAGTCCTTGCTATGCAGATGTTAACCCCCTAATGGCTTCTCTTCCCGAGCCCACGTGGGATTACTCTCCCAAGTCACGCCTTTCCTCTCTCTTACGTAATAAATCCTGTCACTGTTCATATCTGTGTAGAATGCGTCTGTTTTGGGCTTTTGAGAAATCCACCACGCCCACTATGTCTTCTGTTTCCGGCTCAGGGAGATCAGTGCCAGAGGGGAAAGGGGAAGTTTGCTCTGCCTCCTTCTGAGTAGAACTTGCAGCTTCCCCTTTCTCATGACTCCCTGGCTTCGATAAAGGTTCAGGCGTTTGCTCAACATGCTGGGAGTCAGAGGAAGGCAGAGCAGCTGGCTCAGCTGTCCCTGCGCTGGGTTGTGAGGTCAGCTCTTGGACACTGGGTGTCAAGTGCAAGTCCTCCTCATGAGTCACTGCTTCTGTCGGGGCTTCATGCATGACATGAAGGAGGAACGACATCAAACTCGATTCTGTACCCAAATTCAACTATGGAAAGGACCCATTTATCAGATGTGATGGTCTCCCAAAGAGGGAGTCGGCTTTGTAGCCGGCCCCTGTAGAGAGGGGGGAGGGGTGTAGAAGGAGAGAGAAGATGGGTTCGCGGTGCCCGTCAACGTTGCCTTTTTTCAACAGGCTGGCGACAGCGGCCCTGTTGATATTGAGCAGCCGGTTGTGAACGGTTTCGCTGTTGCTGCTGAGGAAACTGTTGCTGGCACAACTGGTACCGATGGTATGGCTGGTATCTATGGTATCTAGGTTGCTGTCACTTATGACGGTTCGAGCGGGGGATTTCCATTTTCCTGGCGGTGGTTCGAGCATTATAGATATGCTCGAGCTTGGGGTCCATCCGATCATGGAAGAGGCCTGAACCGTCGAATGGCATTCCCTTGATCCTTTTCTTAGTCTCTTCCGGGAAGTTGCACGAACGTAGCCAGACATGCCCCCGGAGAGCAACTGAGCCCACCAGGGCACGAGAATTGCAGTCAATATGATGGCGGGCTGTGGTGAGCTGCTGTATCGCCAGCTGCATCGCTTCTCAAATAAAAACACAGGTGAGATCATGTTGTTGTTCTGGGATGGATGAGGTAATCAAGTCCAGTCGCTGCATCAGAAAGTACTGATACCTCGCCATCATTGCCTTGTAATTTGAAATTCTCAAGCCCAGTCCCACTGTTGCGTAAATTCACCTCGCCATGAGGTTGATTTCCCACCCTTCTCTATCCTTGGGGGCCGAGTGCTCTCTATTGTCCCGCCCTTGAGATGATTCGACCACAATCGTATTAGGCTTTGGATGTCGCAGAAGGAAGGGAATGTCCTGTTCTCTGACCTTGTACATGGACTCGTACCTCTGCGAGGTCGACTGAAGTTGGTTGGGGAAGGTCCATGTCTCTTCCATAGCCTCCCGCAAAGTCGTAATCAATGGATTGCCGATGACTGTTCTTTGCAGACAATGTCATAGAAGTTGTCCTTATTTGTATTGGGTTGATGCTCAACCTCTATCTCCAAAGCTCTTGTCAGTTGGCCCATAAGCTCCCTGAAGGTAGCGTAGGACTCCTTTGGCGACCCAGGTCCCTGGGTGGAGATGACTGCCGCCAGAGATGTAGAACAGTCATTGGAGTCCTCTGATTCGGAATCATATGGATAGGGCGGACTAGAGGATGAATGTGCCGGAGAAGGAGGATGGTGGGAGGTCGTCGGGGCCAAGGTAGATGGAGCCCTCTCTTTGGATTGTCGGGAACAACGGCCGTCATCCCTAGGCATGTAATAGTCGAATGGAGGTGGCTCCCAGTATTGAGGCTGAGATGCTTCTGGTCCTTCATATGGCATCGGAATCCATGACCTAGTGGATTGTCCTGATGAACGCCATTGTCTGTTGGGTTCAATCGCCATAGTCCTCCTGGAAGCCTCCGGGGAGGATGGCATTGGAGTCAGTGAACGGGCCGGTTGGCGGCACGGCAAGGACCTCGGGGGGGGGGGGATCACAAAACTCCCCATCGGACATCGACCCGTGAACGACTGGTTCGGGTGGATGTAGCATAATCAGGTTCACAGGCTCAACCCTCTGTGGGGATCCCGGCGGCGTGACTTGCATCATTTCTCTCGGTGCCGAGGCTGTCGGTGCCAAAGGTGCCATCGGGACCACAAAGACGGTCGGGTCTGAGTCCCTTCGCGGTTCCAGAGCGGATCTGCGCTTCTTAGTAGCCTTGCCTGACTTGTCCTTTTTGTCCTTTTTCAGGGCTGACGGATCCCTGTGGTCGGAACGCTTCCGCTTTTCCTTTTGTTTGCGCAAGGAGTGGGAGAAGCGAGAGATCTCCTCAGAAGCCACTCCCCTGGATGGTCGAAGGGAGGTTACCATGGAAGGCTCGGCCGACATAGATTGAGCAGCAAGCTCATCAGACGCCTGCAAGGCTTGATCCCAGAGGATCTTTCTCAGCCTGTTCTCTCGGTTTTTCCTGGCCTGTTTGCTAAAGGCCAGGCAATGTCTGCATGTATCCATGCGATGCCCTTCTCCTAAACAAAGGAGGCAGAGTTCGTGAGGGTCCGCTGGGCACATTTTAGCCCCACATTTCGAACACTTTCAAAATGCCGCACGCTGAGCCATCACCAAAGGGATAGCAAGGTAAAGAGAAGAAAGAGAAGAAATATACTAACTATATTTTTTATTTTTTTATTTTTATATAGAACAGAAAGAGTAAAGAATTGACTGGAAACAAGGAGAAGTAACTTGGATTCAACTGGGTAAGAAAAACGATTTAGAACAAGCAGATACGAGAAGACAAGGTAATGGCTTGAGGCAATGCGATTAGCAGTCGAAAGAAGACTGAGGAAAATGGCAGGCGCTCCGCCTTATATAGCACCATGGGGAGGGGTACGGAGTTCCCACCAAAAACTGTTGCAGCTTGGGTATTCTGGCCGTTAACAGGCTCTGCGCAGGCGCAGTACCCATTAAGTGTGATGTACAGAGACCACGAAGAAGAATATAGTTTATTTGAGTTTATTTTAAGTATATAGGTTTGCAGCTCACCATTTCTTGCCCATGGGTACCTGCTTGCTATTGTACAGTGTATTGCACAGTGTTTGCTATTATCCATGGTTTCAGGCATCTGCTGGGGGGCCTGGAACCGATCTGCATGGATAGGAGAGTCCTGCTGTATATGCATGTTACATTCATACCAACAATCAAGATATGTGTATTACCCATTTCAATGACTTTCTGTGTCATAAAGGCAAATAACTATTCCAGTGCTTCTGTGTTGTTTCTCTAAGCCAATGTGGTACAGTAATTAAAATTTCAGACCATGGCCAAGGAGGCCAGGTTCAAATTTCTACTCAGCCATTAATGATCCTGTATAACTCACTTTCTCTCAGCCTTATCTATCTCAAAGAATGATAAAAGAATCATTGCAGTTTGGGAAGGGGGAAAAGTCCTGAAAGAATGTTTGAATGAGTTGTTATATCTGTAACATGTATCCTATGGTCCTGGTGGTGGGGGCACAGTATTTTGAAGATTTTAATTGTATGTTTATTTTTATATGTTTCTATATCTTTTATTTTGGTTGCATTATAGAAGAAAATTTTTAAAATTATAAAAATGTAATAAGCAAATAAATAAACATCAAACATATAGTAACTAAGCTAGATGGATATTTATGAGTGATGCTTTAAATATAATATATTCTATGTAGGTGATTGGGTTAGGGTTAGGATAGCTGTGTTCATTGATTAACTTAACTCAAATGGGCCTTGAAGAGCTTCCAATTCACATTTATATTCCCTTTCCTCCTACAGCATGGCCCTAAGGACCAGTTTAGAAACTTTCTCTTCCATTTATTTATTTATTTATTTATTTATTTATTTATTTATTTATTTATTTAGGAGACTTCTATGCCGCCCCATTCGCCGAAGCCTCGGGGCGGCTCACAACCATAAATAAACTTCAAGATAATAGGATAATATAAATTAACAATTTCTTATTAATTACAGCCTGTCATGTAACCCAAACCTGGCAGACTTTGTTTAATCTTAACATACCAGCTTCAAGCCATGAGCTATGAAGCTAGTTTGCTTTCAAGCAGAGCACAGTTAAGATTAACTACAATTGTGTGAAGGCCAAGTGTGTGAATCCAAGACTCACCTAGTCATGTTCCCATCACAATAAACTGCTGGAATATATGTATCCAGTGAAATATTTGGATTGCATCTGCTTTAAGCATTCTTCCTGCATACGTACTTAGACACATATGCTTTGGCATAGCAATCTACTCTTGGACTAGCAAGCTTTTTTGCCACAAATAATATTTTTTGCAGAGTCAATGGCCCTTGCCTCTCAGTTCTAATAGAGAAATACCATTTACATGAAACAACAGCAATTTTGGTTACCTTTGGTCGTCCCCAGAATTCTGGCTGCTGTTCAGGACAATTCTCCAAAGATCTGACGCTACAAGCTCTTTCTGGTCAGACATTTGGTTGATACTAGGCAGTGACAGCTCACAAATTTTGCTTTCTGATAGACTGAATTCTCTGAAAGCAACAAATGACTTCTGAAGCTCATCCCAGTATTCCAAGCTGCAGGGAATCTGTAATATTTCCCAAAACAACAACAACAAACAAACAAACAAACAAACAAAAAACACAAAATCTTAGTTGCCTAACATTCCTGGACAAACAACAGTGTTTTTGTAGTACATCCTATAATTGTAATACAATAGAGGTAATGTTGTCCAAACAGAGGTAAATAATAGAGGTTTTTAATTGCTGTTGAAATCATGTTCTTAACCTATTTCTTTTATATTTTTAATATTAATCTAGTTGATGTTTCTATGTACTTTAGAGAAGATCCATATATATCTCCATTTATGGAATATTTATAAGCACTCCAAAATGATTATACAAAGGTAACATGCAAGCATATATTAACTTATCAAAATACCACTAGACATGAATTACACAATTACATCAAGACTGTATTTTCTTGGGATTCTGATAAAGTGACTGAAATTCTTGATACATTTTTCATATGTAGAAATAAAAGCTGGAGAAAAAGTATTTCCCAAATAAGGCATTACAATTGTCTTCAATCCTGTTAAGGCATGGATGACCCAATCCAGGGCAGTATATCTTGTCTCTTTTAGGTCAGAAGTGAGATCAACTATCAAAAGTTTATTCTTATATAGATTAACATTAATTTAAGTCTCATCCCATTCCTTGCCCTGTCTAAGCATGGGTTTGGAATTGCTGCTGATAATTCTGATTCAGTGGACAGTGAAAATAGTAGTGGTATTTTGTCAGTGTATTGATGACACTACTTTCCAATGCTCTATCTTCCACCAATTCCATAGGACTATTAAACAAGGAAAGTTGACAAAACATAGCTGTGATGAAGTCAATACAGAGCACTGTGTCTTGAATATCAACTAGTCTATCCATAAGAAACTGATGTTCAAACATCTTAACAGGCTGAATGCATGATCTTTTGCATATTTATACAGAAAAAATGTCCTACATGTGCCAGCATGCCCCAGCCAACTAAGCATAAGAATTATGAGTAACTAACAATTAGTTAAGCACAACTAATTAATAAGCATAATTAATTAATAAAACAAGAATTAGGGCCTTATCACAGCCACTCACAACAGAGTATTGTCACAACTGCAGTTCTGAACCCTAAAAGTTATCATATAGTCACCTGAGCTGGTGTAGCACCCTTTAGTTAATAACAGTGCACATCATATGTTTCATAAGATGGGTGGGGAATGAGAGCTGCATTATGCTTACTCTCCTGTCCTAGTCCCTTTCTATCCATGTCTCCACTAGGTTGGGTTTAAGCATTACCTGAAACAGTACCTTAAATCTCTCAGGAATTGGCCAAATGATTATTCAGGAGGCTGAGTTAATTGGTTAAAGAGGCAAGATTTCTTTTACATAGCTATTAAAAAGCAAAACAGCAAAAGAAAGCAGGTTTCTTTACACATAATCCTTTATTTTAATGTGTGTAATGCATAAAAGCCTTTTTATGTCAGCAAATGCACAGGATACATTGAAAATTTAATGTATGCTGTAAAATAATAACTGCACTTTCATCCTTTAGTGACCCCACTTAAGGAATGATAGGTTTAAGGAGTTACCAGCATACCATAATATCAAACTTTGTAATATGAAATATTAAAAGGATATTTATAGGCTGACACACAAAGACCTAGCAAGGGAGAAAGTTCCATTGACATGTACGGAGTTTACAGTGGCCAAGGGGTATGGAAACTGGATTTGGGAATTTAAACTGATTTAATTGTACATTTCTAAGCATATCACATTATTAGTTTCTATGGGTGCATGGGGTTATTACTAATGGCCCAGCTTGGTAAATTTAAAGAAAGACGAACACTTTGTGCAGTAGTAGCTGCCAAAAATAATAGCTTGAAACCTGAATATCAAATATATTCCACAAAATGACTCATGGGCAGGAGGAAGTAAGGATATTGGTTGTGCTAAACGTGTCCCATAAGTAAAATAACATTGTATTCTTTTTGTCTTGAAAAATATGATTAATACTCTACCTACAATTCAAATAATGCTTAACTCCTGAGATATTGCTCCCAACTAGAAAAATGCACCGGCAAAGATAAACACGCACACATCATGAGCATACCCCAGAGCAACTTCCTAGAGTTTGCACATCTTAGGTTCTCCATACACTGAAAATTAAAGTTGAGCAGGGATAGACAAGGGCAACTAACCAGGGATGAGAATTTGGGATCTTCCTATCCAGGGTGGGCCAAACAACTGCTACGGAAGCCTCCAAAGGGAGAGCTGAGGTGGATGTACTGACTGTGTACTGGTTGCCTGGATGCCTGACAGATCACCTTTCTTGCTTGCTGTGACTTTTCAGGCCATGGGACCTGTTGAGAAAGGGGGTTAACCTAACTGAGAATACTGCTGTGCCAGGGCTCTCAGGGACACAAAAGTTCAGATCCAATAGGCAAGGTTAGGCCCAACAAGGATTGAATTTCAGGAAACTCCAGAAGCATGATCAGACAAAGCTAAAGTCAGATGTTGGAGAGAGAAAGCAAGGAGCGAGGAACACACCTGAATTCTATGTAGGTCTAGGCTGAAAGCCAGACAAGCACTGCTTTTGCTCAAACAACTGGTATATTCAATCAGAACCTTAAGTAGGATTTGTACTTCCCAGAGGCTGCTGTTTCTCCCATACACTGCATGATGGGTCCAGATCAGCTTTTGAAAACTTTGGCTGTGGCAGGGTGGAGGTAACTGTGGCATGGAGTCCTTGGAACCAGGACTCAGGGACCACGAGCCCTGAAGAGACTGGGGTGTCAATAGGTGCTTCTGTAGCCACATCCTCTTCTGAGAGAAATATATCACAGACCTTTACTCCGGGAGCCAGAGAAACATGATCATGACACCAGTCTGCTACCTTGCAGACTGATCTGCTAGCTACATTCACAGGACAGCTGATCAGGCTTTCTGGTTCTCACACAACCTTAGGCAGAGCCTTAGGCAGATTCATGTCTCACTTGGGTCTACAAGTGTGAGTGAAAAAAAAAAAAAAAAAGATCTCTTCTGGCAACATGAAAGTATACACATTGCTCTTTTATCACATGTCTCCACCAGATGTTGGTAAAATTTTCCTTCCTATTTGTCAGGATGATACAGATGAGATTACCCTTAGAGTAGCTTGATTATCTAAATGGGTTCTATGGGTCAAAGCTTTGTCACTGGGGGGGCACCTCTCACACATTATAGCCTGCTCAGATGGATTGGTCTGATTCTGAGGTGGAGGAGGAGTGGGCAGTTTCTTGGTCACTTCAAGGGTACCTGGTTTCCCAAGCAAAGTGTGAGAACCAGACCACCTTGGAAAGGGAAAAGTACCTAGGGTTGCTTATGAGCTGGAGTGCGAGGGAAAACTCCTTGACCCAGTCAGGAGTCAACAGGTGAAGTGAGCAGCCAAATTAAGAAGTGTCACACATTCCTCCTATCTAGCTCACAAGTGGCCATCTTGAAGGTGGAGTCAGAAGCTTTACTGAAAGGAAGGGGAAGAGCAGATGTTTCAGTTTGGAGTCAACTCTTTATATGGGAGGTGCTTCTCCCACATCATAAAGAGATGCAATACAGTTATGCTGTTCTGTAATGAATTAAGTTTTAATAAAAGAACTGCACTTCTAAGGTTTTGTTTGAGTTTGCTGGAGGGGGGTAGTGACCCACTCAACAATCACCACAAATTAATTCTTTCCAGTTCAACATTTATGTTGAATATTTCTCTGATTGTGCATATATCTGAATTAAAATAGGTACACAGGGCAGTGTGCAAAGGGAAAGATAAAGGAAATATGCCAGTTTTGAATAACTGAACTTTGGTAACTACAAGCAACAGAGGAGGAGGCTGGTCATTAATATCCTGCATCCAAATATATTTTATTTTATCACTCTTCATGAGAAGGAGTTGCCTGAAGGAGGCAGTTATTTGTCCACTCCTAAAAAATGCTGATTTGTATGCTGATAATTTTTCCAGTTATTGACAGGATGCAACCATACCCCTTTTGACCAAGGTGCTCAAGCCAATTATTTGAATACATTTCAGTCTGGTACCCGGCCTGAATATGACACTAAGACAACTTTGGTCATCCTGATTACCTTCTCCAAGTTAACATGAAAAATGGACCCATTTAATACTTCTGGGCCTCTTGGTACCTTCTGAAGTCATCAACCATGAACTCCCGTTCTGGCTTTGTTTTTCAAGATAGGACTTAGTGACTTAGTTCTTCAGTGACCCCAGAGCTATCTGCTTCTCCATTTCTGGTTACCCATGCTGGGGCAATATTGCTGGATAAGGACCAATAAATTGAAGCTGAATCCTAGTAACACTGAAGTGGTTTGTCTGATGTGGGAGATGAAGTTCAATCTGTTTTGTATTGGGGGTACACTCTCCCCAGAGAGAGTGTTAGTAGCTTGAGTGTGCTATTAGATTCAGCCTCATCTTTAGATGCCCAAGTGGTTTCCATGGCATGAATCATCATCCATCAGTGTGTCATTTGCAGGCCCTCCTGCACAGAGATAGCCTAGCAACAGTTAACCATGCTCTGGTAACATGCTGTTGAAATTTTACAGTAATGCATTTTACATGAGGCAACCTTTGAAGACTAGTTCAAACTACAGGAGTTGGTTCAAAATACAGCAGCTAGGTTGCTAAATGGGAATGACGCATATGGAACATATCTCACCCATCATAAAAATCTATACTGATTCCAGATCCATTTCCAAGCATAATTCACAACTGTGCTGCTTTTAAAGCTCTAAAAGCATTAGGATCAGTGTAGCTCAAGGACTATCTTCTTTCACACTAGCATGCCTGCCTGTTGTGATCTTTCAAAGCCATTCTTTGGTTTCTATTCATTTAACATGAAGCACATAGTATCCCCAGATAGAGCCTTCTCTGTGGTGGCACTCTGAAATGTCTTTGGGCAGTTCACCTGGCATTGCCAGATAAGCACCTCTTTATATTTTTCATGCCTTCAGAACTGTGCTTGTGCTTTAATTTGCATGTCACTTGCTATTTTCAAGGTGA